CAATAATATGAAGTAACTGGTTAAAATATTGGAGGCCAGTGCTGATCTGAGTAGTTGTAGGCCAGAAGTATGATATCAGGGATCTTGAGCACCATGACTAGAGCAAGGCTGCTCCCATCCACACACCTATGGTCCCAGTGGGGACTTTTGGGGAACTCTCCTTGGTGCAGAAACCCAGGTGCTCACCTGCCTCACTTAGTCCCTATAGTCCCCAACTCTATGACTCAAAATTCCTGCATCATTGACCCTGGCACTCTGTAACCCCTGATGCCATAGATCTCTGCCATGCCATAGAGCATCCACCATTCCCCATTTGAGCAAAAAGCACCACCCTGAAGATCCATCCCTAATGACAGGACCTGGATCACCCCACCCCTCCTGCTTTTCACTCAAGCACATCCACCACCATCTTTCACATTGTACCTCACCTCACTCCTGCTGTCTCCACCACTACCCATGCTTAATTACACTCCATTGGATATTTCTCTCTTGTTCTCCTCCATTCTTCCCCTCATCTCCCCACTCAATCCCTCATCAACCTCTTCTTACCCTGAACTTCAGTACAATTATTCACATTCTGCAGTTTCCCCTGTAGGTCTGTGCCTTACCTCCATTTGCCAACGTGTAGCCCATCTGGTTGTCATTGGCATCCCAGGAAGTTGCAGTCCTAATCCATAAGAAACGGTGATATCTGACTTCCTACCCCTATTGCAGAATGGCCTTTAATAAACCTGATGCCCTAGGAAGATTCTCTAAGAGTAGAAAGAAGTGATGTCTTTGTGTGCCTTTATACCTTGTCACAGTAGATTGCACCAGGAGCGAGCCATCTCAATTTACATCCTGGAAAGGCACTTTGTGGGACCTGCCTGACTCATTTTTAAAAGTGAGTCAGGCTCATTTTCTTGCAGATTAATTTAGAGGGGAAAAATGGCCTAGGAGGGCACAGGGTCTTAGGTAGGTTGTGGGAAGCCGCCTATGATGGCGCCCATTTCCTGCTTCCGGGTTCTTCCCGGCCTGAACAAGCCCGCCAAATTGTCATATCTGCCCAGTTACCCGTGATGCTAGCCTATCAGCTTGTTAGACGCGCTTCTCTGTGATTGGATACTGCTTCCCCTTATAAGAGGTTGTTCCTGCCCCCAACGGGCGGAAGAGGAACCAACGTTGAGGGTGGCGGACCTTGTTAGGTCCGGTTCGCTGTACGTAATAAAGTTTGAGAGCTGATCCTGCTCGAGTTTGGTCTCCTGTCTTCCGCGGCTCCGGTCATCTGGTGGCCCGTACGGGGAAAAAGGTAAAAGACTCAGTGACATGCCTCTTCGGCCGGGAGGTGCGATTGCTGTCGCCTGCGGTACGACGGAGGACCTGGCCCAATAACAACGGAAGGCCCCGAGCGCCTCTTCTCTTCACCCTGATCAGCTACGTGAGATACAGCGGTTCCCGGGACAGGTGAGTACTGGGTCACCTGGGTTGGGTGGACGCACCTAACAGATTTTGAGCGCCACATGGGTGGACGCCGGTCTTTTTTTTTTTTTCTTTGCATTTGTTTCGCTTTCGCTTCACCATTGTGGGCAACGCTGCTCGCAAACCCCTCGCTGACTCCCTAAGAGTCCTGCTGCGGACCCGAGGCATCTACATAAACCGGGTCACCCTTTTGAGATTTCTGGATCGTGTTAATGAAATTGCCCCCTGGTTTTGGCCCACGGGCTCTCTAACCCTCCCGTCATGGGAGAAGTTAGGAGGGGATCTTAGATGCGCCCGAGAAGAGGGACGCTTGGTTCCCATGGTTTTACCCCTGTGGGAACTGATTAGGGCTTGTCTGACGGACGAACAAACCCCCGGGCTTTGCTCAGCCCGACAGGCTCTTGACAAAGCTCGATCCGAGTGCTCGGAGGAGCCCAAAGTCACACCTGACTTTGGGCCTCCAGAGAAACACAAGGGCTCCGAAGCTCGCGACCCATGGTCGCCCCCTTCAGGGCACCAGGCCCTACTGCACCGCCGTGGCCGGAAGAGGAGTTGCTCCCTGGGCTGCCACCTCCACCCGTGGCCGCCAGAGGGCGCCCACAACATATGGCACCGCCCTGGTTAAAGGGAGAGCTACTTCCTGGGTTGCCTTCTGCGCCCCCATCTGGGGAGGGAGGAGGACGTTCCTTCCACCAGAGGGTATGGTCGCGGCTTCCCTTTGAGTGTTCCGGTCTCCATGCATTCCCGGTAGCCCTTAGAAATTAAACAACTTAAAGCTATCAAGGACGCAGTTTCAGCTTATGGGCCCAATGCACCATTTACCATGGCGCTTTTAGAGGCATTGGCAGGTCTGTGTGATCTCTTCACCTCAACAATCTATTGGTGTTAACCCGAGAGGACTGCGCCCCAATCATATTTGGCAAACACACATCCCAGAATTCGGAAAAATATGTACATGTTTCGGTTGACACCGCTTCTCAGGTTATGTTTGCTTCGGCAGAACCTGGAGAAAGGGCCACCCATGCTATTAATCATTGTCTTGCAGCCTGGGCTGCTTGGGGAAAGCCCAATATATTAAAAACAGACAATGGTCCTGCTTACACCAGCAAAACTTTTGTAACATTCTGTCAACAAATGGATGTTGTCCTTAAGCATGGCATTCCATATAACCCTCAAGGACAAGGCATCATTGAACGGGCACATCGGACACTCAAGGGTGTCTTACAAAAGCAAAAAGAGGGGATAGGCCACGGCCTAACGCCCAAAGGAAGAATATCATTGGCACTCTTTACCATAAATTTTCTCAATTTAAACCACAATAATCATTCCCCTGCCATGGAACATAGCAATCCGTCCCCAACCGACAAAGGGCTGGTTAGATGGAAAGATGTCCTTACAGGACAATGGATGGGCCCGGATCCAGTGGTTAGCTGGACCCGAGGTGCGGTTTGTGTCTTCCCACAGGAACCAGGCTGCGAACCGCTGTGGGTCCCAGAAAGATTGACGCGAGCAGTAAACTCCCCACCAGTTCCTGAAGCACAGGAGGATAAGCCCGCAGACACAAGTCAACTCGACCCTTCTGGGACCGACGCTCAGCGCCCGAGACCATCTACAAACTAAAATGTCTGGTTTGGAGCTTTTTCTATTCTGTAGGTTCCTATTAATCACCCCTGTTCGCACAAATTTGACCAACACTGTTAAAAATATGACAGCTTGGCTGCAAGACACCTACCTACCTAAGTTTCACAATTTGTCCCTCATAGTCGGTCAGGAACTTGACAATATGGACGGTATCCAACTAGGTCCAGTCAGGTTCGATTTATCAACTTTAGGCAGTGTTATAGCCAGTTTGTGGGAACGCGTCACCTCCTGGTTCTCCTGGCCCAACCTGACTACTTGGATCCTGATTGCCGTGGCCATCCTAGTGGGGCTTGTGGTTATCAAATGCTTGTTAGACCGCCTTATGCAAACCCAGTAACAGGTCAAGGTCACGGCTATGGCAGCCATGCAAATGGCAGCGGGCGGCCCATCGGGTCGACAGGCCGCCGCATATCTCCTTCATGTCGCAGAACATCAGTTATAAAAGCTGAGTGGGCAAGCCAATGACGGGTAAGACGGGAAAAGCCCTCCCGGTCAACCTAAGACAGGCTCCACTCAGATATACATGGCCTATAAGGCCAGGGGTCCCTCCCGGAGTCAAATTATTGGCATTGAGATGCGAGACCAAGGGTACTGCAGTGCCATCCGCCCCAAAGGTTGGGGGGAAGGCAGGAATGAATGTCTATATGCATCCAGGTTCGGTTCACAAAAGCCTGGCCCTGCGAAAAAATGAATCACTCACCTTGAGCATGGTCCTGGCGCAAGGATATGCACAAAACAGGGTGATGCACAGCAGGGTATAGACCTCTACATTCTCTCATGCCTCGGCCTACAAGGTAGGCCCACTCCTAGGTGTCTAACAGCAACAAGGTCATAGACACCTTGGAGGGACCCACAGACCATCCTATTTTAATAAATAAAAAAGGGGGAGATGTGGGAAGCCGCCTATGATGGCGCCCATTTCCTGCTTCCGGGTTCTTCCCGGCCTGAACAAGCCCGCCAAATTGTCATATCTGCCCAGTTACCCGTGACGCTAGCCTATCAGCTTGTTAGACGCGCTTCTCTGTGATTGGATACTGCTTCCCCTTATAAGAGGTTGTTCCTGCCCCCAACGGGCGGAAGAGGAACCAACGTTGAGGGTGGCGGACCTTGTTAGGTCCGGTTCGCTGTACGCAATAAAGTTTGAGAGCTGATCCTGCTCGAGTTTGGCCTCCTGTCTTCCGCGGCTCCGGTCAGTAGGTATTGATAGATTTCCAGGTTTTATACAGCTTGAGCTGCCCACTTCCATAGCCATCGCCCCAGTGAATAACCACATTAGCAATAGTGTCACAAATACAGTGGTTCACAAGCATGACTGCTTGTCCTGAAGCAAGCATCCTGTTACGTGTTTTTTGGCTGTGGCCATTCAGATCATTGGGGTCTCAATCTGTCTCTCGCCTTGGAAACTTTGTCACCAGCAATAATGTGTCCCTCTCTGTGGACTGTTTTATACCTCTTGTAAAATGAGTGTGTCAGACATATGAAATAATTTAAGTCACTTTGCTAAGATATGGAAGGTAGTGGTGGGCTTTAATATAGGGTCTCTTTATAGATATCACTGTGTGTACTAAAGAAGAAATGTGTTCTAGTCTCCATTATTTTAGGTTTAGGCAATGCAGTCCCAGCTGACCTTAGAATCACTAATTGGTCCCCTCAAAAACTTAATGCCTGTGTACTTTAGGAACTTACTGAGTATCTGTTGTTTTGCCTGCCTGGTTATTCAATTTACTTGCTCATTAAAAGAAAACCTCCAGGGCTGGGTGTATAACTCAGTGGTAGAACATAAGCCCCCGGATTCCATCCCTAGTATCCCCAAAATTACCCTCCATTAAGCATATCTATATTAAATGTTACAAAATCCTGTGGATGGACTGACTTCATTATAATAGTAATAGAATACAATATGCTTTTTAAAGTTTTATTTATATTTGGAAAGGCAGTACATTCATATAGTACAATTTTCAAAAGCTACAAAGGATTCACAGATGTCTCTTTGAGTTCCCTCCAACTCCACTGCCCCTTCCCTGAGGTAATCAGGGTTACTAGCTTTTTATGCCCTTTCAAAAAGTTTATTCATGTACAATTATGTACTTACATTTTCCTATTAATATACACATGATAGCATATTACACTTACTATGCTGTACCTTGCTTTTTCTACCTTATAACTTGGGGGTTATCCCAAATCACTACATAAATAATAACACAAGTTCTATTTATTTATTTATTTTTGTCTGCCCAAGAATTTGCTGTGACTATGTCATAATTTTTGGAAGCAGAACTCTGGTGACATCATTAGGACAACTTCAAATCTTTTGTTTTTGTGAACAGTGAAGCACTGACTCTCTGTGTTCATCATTTGTACACTATGAGTATATATATTTACATCCCTAGAAGTGGAACTGCTGGCTTAAAAATAGTTTGTGGTTTTGATTATGCTTGAATGATTCTCTTTGAATTACAGAGTTTTTCTTAGACTTGCTATTTGCTAGAGGATTGTGTTCTCCAGAAGATACCAGGACCCTATTTCAGGCAGAGCAGTTTTTCCAACTGCTGAGATCTGTGACACACTTATTAGTTATTTCAGACTTGATTTTGCCAAAGTCAGTAAATAGGGGTAGCTATGTTCTTTCTCATCCCTTATCCCCAACTGTTCCTCCCATCAATACAGATGTCTTCCTGCAAATATGGTTTGACTGAATGATTCCTTGTTGAGAGCCCTGTTTCTTCCCAGACATCAAATACTTAATGATATACCTCACTTGCCTAAGTACTCTGTTACCCAGCTGCCTGGGCCCCTGCAATTTTAAGTGTATCTTGCTCAACCCTTATCTAAAGAGTTCTTACCCATGCCTTCTCACATCTTTGGACCTGAAATCTCTTGTACTGGTCCTTCACTGCCTCTGCTTCTAGAAGCCTTCAAGTTGTAGCTAATCTAATTTGCTCAGATACAGAGATTCCATTTCTTCTTTTTCTCCTATTGTTTTAGGTCAAGAACAAGATGAAAAAAAAAAAGAAAGGCTAACTTAACTACCCATGTTTAAATCAGAAGTTAGGACACACATTGAAAACCTTAAACTGACACAAATTTCTTTCAGGGTACACAGCAGATACTGTTGCTTTACCCTTTAATGCCCAGTGAGCTTTGATTTCCGGGTGTGATTTCTCCCATGAGCCTTCTTTCCAGTGTGTGTTCTCTGATGAACAATAAGGTTGGACTTCTGGGTAAAGGCTTTCCCACATTCTGTACATTTATAAGGCTTCTCTCCAGTATGAGTTCTTTGATGCACAGTGAATGTCGACTTTTCCCTGAAGGCTTTGCCACACTCTGAACAAGCATAGGGCTTTTCTCCTGTGTGTGTTCTCTGGTGGATTATGAGTTGAGACTTCTGGCTGAAAGCTTTCCAACACACAAGACATTCATAGGGTTTCTCTCCTGTATGAATTCTTTGATGTATAATGAGCTTTGACTTTTCTCGGAAGGCTTTGCCACACTCATTACATTTATAGGGTTTTTCTTCTGTATGAGTTCTTTGATGTATAATGAGATATGACTTTTGGGAAAATGCTTTTTCACATTCACTGCACTCATAGGGCTTCTCTCCTGTGTGGCCTCTCTGATGTAGCATGAGATAGGACTTCTGAGAGAAGGCTTTCTCACATTCATTACACCCAAAGGGCTTCTCTCCTGAATGAGTTCTCTGATGTACACCCAGGTTTGACTTCTGGGTGAAGGTTTTTCCACATACATCACATTCATAGGGTTTCTCTCCCGTGTGGGTCCTCTGATGCACAATGAGGGTGGACTTCTCATTGAAAGACTTTCCACATTCAGTACATTTATGAGGCTTCTCTCCCGTGTGCGTTCTCTGATGTATAATTAGGGTTGACTTGTCACTGAAAGTCTTCTTGCATTGATTGCATTCGTGGAGTTTCTTTCCTGTGTGAGTGCTGTGATGGATAATTAGATCAAGCTTCTGTATGAAAGATTTCCCACATTTAGTGCATTCATATGTTTTTTCTCCTGTGTGAGTTTTCTGATGGACAATCAGGTTTGACTTCTGAGTGAAGGCTTTTCCACATTCATTACATTCATAAGGTTTCTCTCCCGTATGAGTCCTGTAATGTATGATGACTGTTGACTTTTCTCTGAAGGCTTTCCCACACTCAGGACACTCAAAGGGTCTCTCTCCTGTATGAGTTCTGAGATGTATAATGAGCTGAGACTTTTGGCTGAAAGCTTTTCCACATTCAGTACAACCAAAGGGTTTCTCTCCTGTGTGAGTTCTCCAGTGCACAGTGAGGTGTGACTTCTTGCTGAAGGCTTTCAGACATGCAGTACATTCAAAGGGCTTCTCTCCATTTTTAATTCTCTGATGAAGACTAAGACCTTTCTTTGGCCTGATGACTTTTCCACATTCTTCATATCCATAGGGTTTCACTATGGGATTCTTTTCATATTCAGTGTGAAAGAATAAGTTTGCACATCCATTATTATGTTTACTTTCTGTAGAGCTTCTAAATAAGTCAAAATTATCTACCATATTATTTCCAAATGATTCAAGTTTATGGGGTCTTTGTTTCGGAACAACAAACCTTGTACTCAGATGAAGTGTGTTTCCAAATTCATTACACTCACAGTCACTCTTGGTGGGAATTATTTTCTTGTCAGGGAATCTAGCTTGCATCAACAGGCATTTATCTTGGTCATCCTGATGCTTCCTCTCAATCTGTTCACCAATTTGGCAGACTTCTAGAAAGAAGTACAATAGTCACAATTACCTGCCATATGAAAAATCATGTCATTTTATCAGAGTCTCTAAAAAGTCTCTTACTCAACTTCTATCTACTGGTCTTTTTGTTACCAAAAATAACCTTACCCCAGTGTCTGGGTCTCTTATCACTACTTTGATATTGTCTCTGATTTCCATCAGCTCTGGGGATGGACCTTAATACCTCAATCCACAGTCAACATATGAACTTTTTTTTTTGTCTTTTTGAGACAGGGTCTCATATGCAGTTCACGCTGGCCTTGGGCTCACTTTGTAGCCCAGGCTGGTCTCGAACTTGCAACAATCCTCCTGCCTCAGCCTCCAGAGTGCTGGGATTACAAGAGTGTGCCACCACACCTGGCAACATCTGAAATCTTAACTGAACCTGACTTACACTATTTCCTGCTAGGAAAAAATAAAATAGTATGATTGCTGGATTGAAATCTTACAATATAGCTGAATCTACATTGTCAGTGAGTGACAAATATTCAGAATAAATTAATTTGGGCTCACCAATGCAAGTTCACCCACACTTGCATTCGCAGTTCTTCAACATCACTGTCTGCTCTATTTCCTTTAAACTATACCTATGAACTCCAAACTATCTCATGTACCACTACGCATATGGCCCTGTCCTCCATATTTTCCTATATTCATACTATAGATAACTTTTCAAGAGGCAGTTCTCTTTTCAAAAATACCTACTTTGATCTTCCTAAATAACTTAAAGTTTTATTCACTGCCATCTGTACCATTTAGTTCAAACTGCAAGGCCTTTAATTTCATCAATTGCAAGATGCACAATATTTAACATTTTAACATCTCTGAATCCAGATACACCTTATAATCAATGAAATGTCCTAGATTAATTGGTGATAATGTTCCTTTCTTTGTGGAATGTCTTAAAATCAATGGTATTTGAAGTCAATAAAATCTAATATTTTGGCACATATACTGAATTTTTAATCATGTTTTATAATTTACCTTCTCACCTTCCCCAAAATTTTATGTGAAAATTTTGAAGCATGGAGAAAAGTTGAAAGAAGTGTACAGTAATTATTCATATTATCACTTAAATAATGTTAACATTTTGCCATAGCAGTACTGAAATTTTTTTTGGTACCAGGAATTGAACTCAGGACCTTGCACTTGCCAGGCAGCCACTTATGCCACTGAGTTATATCATTGGTCCAGCAGTATTGAATTTTAAAATGGATCATGCAATTTTGGTTTCCTTTCCTGTGACTTATTTTCTTAGGATAGCAAAACACTAGTCCTTAGCCAGAAGTGAGCACAGAACACAGAAAGAGCTCCTACAAATGCCCCTATTCAGGACCACTAGATGAGCACCTCCTTAGGTGAACAGCAGTAGTAAGGCCCATATGGTTGGACCGTGGGCTCTTCAGCCCAAAAGCAAGCCCCAGTTCAACCATTTACATAATCTGTGACCTCAGGCAAGTGACCTAATGTATCTGTATCATTTTCTCACCCATAAAACAGAAATTGTAACAGTGCTCACCCTAAAAGAAGCTGAGAAGCCCTGTTTAATTATGACAGAGGTTGGGTGGCACTTAAGAAGTGCTTTAAAATGTTTACAACAACTGCTATTACTATCAGGTTATTAAGATACATTACTGTAAAAAAATTAAGGTATCTATATATGTATAATGTTCTTAACTGTAAGTTAAAATAGGTTAATAAAAAGATGGTAGGATACTGTTTTTCTAAGGAAAGAAATGTACATATAAGTACATTTATATATAGTATTATATATATATATATTTGGTTCTGGGGCTCAAACTCACGACCTTGCACTTGCCAGGCAGGTGCTTATGCCACTGAATTAAATCCCTGGCCTAGTCAATATTTTTATATTATATTACAAACAACAAGAGAAAGATAAACCTTTAAATTTTATTAAAGGTTACTTGTGGAGGAAGTAAAGACACAGTGGAGAGGGAAAACAGCCTCTGACTATACTGCATTTGCACCTTGTTTCCTAAATATGACTTTGGAACCAAGTAAATATAATACTTTATATAATCATAATCAAAACTGAATATTAAAGGATTTCCTAATAACAGTAATTATTCTGTATTCCCTAGTGATCAGGCTGAAAGTGTTGACTCACAGTGGCACCACAATTTATTGTTTTGACTCACTACACATATACCACAGCCCAGAATAACAACAATACTACCATCAGATATAAAACTATTCTACTAAAAACTTTTATATTCAGGATTTGATTTGGAACTATCAATTGGAATATATGAAATATTTTAAAAATTTATATATAGGTCTTAACTCTGTCAATGAAGCAGCTTAAAAATGATTCCCTAATATCCAAATTGTGGTCTTAAAACATTATTTTCCATTAAAAAGAACCAGGGCTCTTTGGATAAATGGCCAATACCAGTTCAGAGACAGGAAATACACAAAATGAGACTTAAACTTGTAACATCAAAAAGCAAGGACAGGGTCAGGGTTACAGCTCAGTGCCTGCCTGGTGATTGCAAGGTTATGAGTTCAATTCCCAGTACAAAAAAAAGCAAGGACAGTAGCAAGCACTTGGAAGCCAAGATGAAACTCCAATGTGAAGGAGTTTCCACTGGCCAGAGATGCAACACTTTGTGTCATACTAGGGATAATAAGGCAATTGATTAGACATAAAAATGTTTAAATCCCTAAGTCTATAATTGATACACAAAAAATTGGGTGATGCTACCAAAACAACTCTTTACTCTGAAAACTGGAAAATATGCCAATGAAACCCTCAATCATTTAGTCTGTCTTTTACATACAACATATAACTCCTGGTAACAAAATAATAGGTGAAGGGCAATTTCATTTTATAAAAGTATCCTAGCTAATCAACAAAGAAGAATGACAAAATTTAAATATCAATATTTTGCAGCCATTAATGAATTAATGGAGGTAAGCGTTAATCACCAATGAATGACTAATGACAAAACACAGAGACAACTGTGTATTACATGCCTGGTGGTGGAAGTACCTAGGAAGTAAAAAGAAAAAAATACTCAGAAACTGATCCAACTTCTAACTACCAACTTACCAAAAACAAAACAAATAAAAAACACAAGAGAGGCCATGTTATATACCACCATGGAGTAAAGTACCATTTCCCTAACAGGAACCAGAGGTCCTTGAAGTTGCTGATTCCAGTCTGAAATAGGGAGAACACCAGGTAAATGTGGAATATGCTTGTGCTAAGTGAAAAAGTGCTCAAAGAATGACAGGGCCATGCCAAAAGGAGAGGAGGCTAGCTTGAAGAAACTTTCACTCGCCACACTAAAGATAATTTGAACATGAATATGAATAATGACAGTAATGAATCCTCATTGATAAAAGAAAATTCAACTATCTTAGTAACAACTGATTTAGGCAAGAATCATCAGAGAACGTTAATACCACTACATTAAAGTTTCTGAGGAACAGGATATTCAAAGTTTGGCAATTTCTCAAAATGTTGAACATACAATTACCATACAGTATAATAACTCCAATATTGTATATCTTCACAAAATGAGAACCTACATTACCACACAAACTTGGGCATGAATGTTCATATCCACATTAGTCATAATAGCCAAGAAAGTGGAAACCACCAAATATTCATCAAGAGTTAGATGGATAAACAAAATGCTCTATCCATATAATAGAATACTCCTCTACAAAACAGAATAAAGTGTTGATCCATGCTGCAACATGGATGAACCCTGAAAACACGCCAAATGAAAGAAAAGAAAATTGCCATAATTTGTACAATTACATTTGTACGAAATGTCAAGAACAGGCAAGACCATACAGGCAGAATGTAAATCAGGCTTACCAGGGAATGAGAGAAGGAGAGAATGGCAAGGGACTAATTAAAGTAAAGGTTTCTTTTTGGGACAATAAAAATGTTCTAGAGTAAGATAATGGTGACAATCACACAAGTTATGAATATACCAAAACTACTGACTTTTATTACTGAATATTTAAGTGGCTGAATTATATGACAGTAAATTATGTCTTAAAGATAATTTAAAAAGTAAATAATCAAGGAGCTGTGGTGTAGCTCAGTGGTAAAGTGTTTGTCTAGCATGTGTAAAACTTTCAGTTCAACCCCAAGCACTACCACTATCACCACCACACCACCAAAAAAAAGTATGGTGGCTCACACCTATAATCTCAGCACTGAAAGGCTGAGGCAGGAGTATCCCAAACTTAAGCCCAGCTTGCTAATTTAGAAACTTAGCAAGACCCTGTCCTAAAATAAAAATAAATAAATAAAAAGAGCTGGTGATGTAGCTCAGTGCAAAGGCCTGGGTTCAATCCCTGGACCACAAAATATTAGGTAATTGAGATGTGTTAGGACATTGAATTTTGATGGGAATAGCTAAGCTGAACAAAAAGAATGGACTCAGAGAATCCAATCTGAAATTACAGTATTATATCCAGACCTGTAACTAATGTGGGCCTAGCTTTAGATAAGTCCATGACACATAAGAATTGTGGCAGCAATAGGGCCGGGGCATCACAGCATGTAAAAGACACTTGATATTGTGAGGAAAGGAGCTGTGCAGAAACTTGCCAGGGAGCAGCAACGTAAGGAGAGTAGTGACAGGGTATGGGGGTCAGGGAAGTGGTGCTAGTCTTACATATGAGATGTTCATGTCCCTGTCCTCCAACAGTGCCAGAGGGCCACAACCTTTCCCAAGATATTCCTGAAAGCCCTATGGAATGCCATCCCCCAATGACAGGCTGGGCCCCTGTGTGCTCAGAGTTGGGGTCTGTCCTACTTACCTGGAAAGCTCCAAATTGGAACTCTGTCTTCTATCAGGCATGGCTCTTCCACCTCCAGCTTGAGAATAAGGTCTGGTTTAGTAACCTGCTGCCCTGATAATGAGAAATGAGAGATACCTCTTTGTGCTTCAGAAGCCCAGAGGCAGAGGAAATTACAGTTTGAGAGCAACACAAGGGACCTACTGTTTTAAACAGTGGTAAAGTCAAACCATTTAACCTGAGCTTTAAATTCCCAAGAGATCTTTTCAGGAGAGAAAAGGAGGACACTGAGGGGGAAAAAGGCTATACATTTGTTGCAATGATCATAAACAACCACATTTCCCAAGAACCCTTCTTACCCAAGGAGACGAGGTGGCTATAGGTCTCCAGCATCACATCTCTGTACAGCGTTCTCTGTGGAGGGTTCACATACTGCCACTCCTCCTGGGTGAAATCCACAGCCACATCCTCAAATTTCACTAGTTCCTGTAAGAGTACATTGCTTTTATTGTCAAATGCTGACCAGTTGGTGATGAGGATAGAATGGAGGGAAATTTCCCATGGAGTTCGAGGCTCATCATGATGAATTAATGCAGGATGTCTAATTCACGGCAAGTTAGTGTGGCCTGCTCTCATCCCTCCTAAGAGAAACAGTATTGTATTAAGTAATAGTAACTTTAAGATGATGTAGAGCCGGGTGTTTAGCTCAGCAGCACAAGCACCTGACTGGCAAGCACAAGGTCATGAATTTGATCCCTGGTACCAAAAAAAAAAAAGTGATGTTGGCATATGGGTAGACAGTCCAGTGCAACAAAAAGAATCCAAACACATGTAGGCACCTGACTTATGACAATGTTCACCCAGCAAAGCAATGAGGAGGGTGATCTTTTCATAAGTGTTGAGTTGATTATTGGATAAGGGACAAATTCTGAGACAAGACACAAAAAGCAACCCCATAAAAGCCAAGCATGACAAGATTAAAAGTAGGACAGCACAAAGGCAAGCCATAAGTGAGAGATTATCTGTGATGTTCATGAGTTGTAAAAGAACCTTATCCAAAGTATTTAACCTCTATAAACTGATCAGAAACATACCGATTAATGGAAAAGGAAAGAGAGTAGGTACTTCATTCAAAAGGAAAATCAAATGACCTATGAACATAGGAAAATGTACCAAGCAGAGCACTCAGGTGAACTGAAATGTACTCAAGCTCATTAGCATTCAGATAAGTGAAAATTTAAAACACTGAAACACCATTATGTACCTACCAGAAAGGGTATAGCTAAGCAGACCACTACACCGTAATGTCCTGAAATGGTAACTCCCACACACCTTTATTAGTAATACAACCTGGTATAACCACTTTGAGAAATGTTTTGGCATTGTTTGCTAAAGTTAGTGATTTCTACATACCACTTGGCAGTACTCCTTGCTACACATCTCAGAGAAAATCATACACATGTGCTCCAGGAAAGAAGCCCAGGGATGTTCATGATAGCGCTTTTTCTAATACAAGATTATGGGGACAAGTCAAATGTTTATCAGCAGCACAATGAGTAAACTGGCAGTCATTCAATGGGATGCTGTGTGGCAATGAGAATGAATGAACCACATAAGAGCTGCATGCTGTGAAGCAAGTTTACTGTGCCCAGGTAACCAGCTTGCCTGAGGTGGATGCAACAGAACACCACACACAACTTACAAGGAGAGTGCCTATTCCTTTACACAGACAGCGAGTGCTGGGGCTTGAATCTGGGTCCCGGCACATGAAAGGCAAGTGTTCCATCACTGAGCTACATCCTCGGCCCCTAGGAAACTACATTTTTAATCAACAAAACCTGGTGAGAAAACCTAAATGTTTTTCAACCAGTGAATAAACAATCTGAAATCCAAACAAGGTAACATTATGCACAATGAAATGAAAGGAATTGATGTTGCTGGCAACAATATGGATAGACCTCAAATGTACTATGCTAAGGGAAAGAAGCCAGATTCAACAGGCTACTTGCTATGTGGTCCCATTTATAAAACATTATCAGAAGGGCAAAACTTCAGAGACTGCAAATCTATTGAATAGGGGACAAGGTACACCAAGAAGTCAACTACAAAGGTATATGTTAGGAGGTGACAGAACTCTTCCATGTCTTCTTTGTGGCAGTGGTTAGATAACTGTATGGTTTTGCCAAAATGCATCAACTGTATACTCAACTTTTTACTGCATGTAAATTTTACTTTGTGTGTGAATTATATTATTAGCTAAGGCTCTTCAATTAAAAATAAGGCACTTTAAGGTAATCTAGAATGACTGCATCTGTATAAATCCAAATATCTCTACATATCCTCCAAAACACTATATAGATCAATACAAAGAGCACATAAAAGGAGACATAATACTACCTTCAAGATAGCTTATAATACAAAATGGAGACTTCAAATGATTACCTATAAATAAAAAATAAATACCAAGTTCCAGCTCAGCTATCTTTCAAACAAATGTCTATATCCATTGAAAGCTGCTTTAAAAACAAAAGAAAAGGAGAAACTATTTCAGATGACTGAGGCTAGGGATGTAGCTTAGCGGCAAAGAACAGCCCTGCATCCATGAGGACCTGGGCTCCATCCCCAGCACTACAACATAAAAAAATCTGGAAAAAATACTTCAAATGACAAAATTTCACCCCACCACAATGACAGCAAAATGAGTAGCTGTCAAGCTCTCATCCTCCCACAGGAAACAACAAAAAAAGGAAAAAATTATCAGAATTATCTTTGCCAGATAATTTCTGGAAAACAAAGGTTTGTAGCAACCAAGTAAAGACATAATTGAGAAAAAGGCAACTTAAACGTGGGTAGAGTGGGGGGGGGTGGCGGCTTTGTGGCACTTTTTACCTGCCCTTGCCCTTCCCCCTGATATGCAGCTGCTGTTGCAGCGAGAGTCACCCACTTTCCCAGTATGGGTCCCTGGGCTGGAGGGAGCACAGCAGACTGGATTTGTATTCTAATCTGTCTGTGGCTCCAAGAGGACTGGTGAATGTTTCGTGGAACTTGGAACTTGGAGTGGTAATGCAGTGGGCACTGCTCTAAAAGGCTGCAAGGCAGGTACCCAAGACTGCCAGATTGCAGAGACTGGGCAAGGGTCAGAAAATTCAGATATTCAAAAGTACCCATGTACAAGGAAATCCAGAAACACATTTATGCCCAGGAGGACCCATTCATGAATGACCTGGAAAGCCTATAAGTTTTCACCTAAGTCTGCCCCACACAGGCACAGCAGAGTCCTCATAGAGCGCTCCAGCATGGAGTCGACTTGTAGACGAGCACAGGTGTTCACAGTTTCTGTTTGTTGTTTTACTTTTTTGTTTGTTTGCTTGCTTAGCTGTTGGTGTTCAAGAAACTTATTCTAGACCCAAAGATACAAAGAGAATAAAGGAGAAAGGATGAAAATAGATCTTGTATTCAATGTAAATATCTAAAGGGCTACACTAATATCAAACAGAAACTGTCATGTGACAAAGAGAAGGATGTTATCTATCGATAAAGGATCAGTTAATCAAGAAGATACAACATAAAGAAATATATATAAAACAAAAATATAGCCAAAAACATGAGACAAAATTTGACAGAAGATAAAACATAGCTCTACAAATAATAGCTAGAGACTTCAATATAGCACTTTCAATAATGGATAGAACATCTATAGGTAGAAGACTAATAAGGGAAAAAGACTTGAAAACAGCATAATCAACTAGACCTCAAAGAATGTACAGAATACTCCACATAATAATAACATATTCTTCTCAGATGCACAAGGAATATATATGTATTATATATACACATATATATGTATCAGAATAAACCATGTTAGCTCACAAAACAAATCTCAATAAAGTAACAAAGATTAAAAGTCTGCAAAGTATTTCTTTTCAATCACAAGGGGATGAAACTAGCGATCAAAAATAGGAGAAAAACTAGAAATTCATAAATACCTGGAAATTGAACAACTTACTTCTGAACAACCAGTGGGTTAAAGAACAAATCACAAGGAAATTATATCTTGAAACAAATAAAAATGGAAATACAACATAGCAAAATTCATAGGATGAAGTGCCAAAGCAATGCCAAGAGGGAAATGTATAGCTATAAACACATCAAAAAAGGAGACCACAGATTTAATAACCTAACTTTACAGTGTTCAACTGATAGAAGTATCTTTATTATTCATGGTGGGCCCTGATGGCTTATTCTAATGAAGTGACTCTTGCTGGGCCTCTAGATATCTTAAGCTAATAAAATGACTTTGGATAGGGCTGGCTAGACCATAAAACCCTATCACTGGATTATAGGCTGTCTTCATCCTTTCTGCTTCTATAACAGAACACCTGGGCCTGGGAACATTATAAACACTAGAAATGTATTGCTTTACACTGCTAGAGGCTGGGAAGTCCAATACTGGGGGCCATCACCTGGCAAGGATCTACCTGCTGGATCATCCTGTAGCTGCAGAAAAAAGGGTGAAAACTCTTTTCTTTGAGACAGGATCTTGCTATGTAGTTCAGGCTGGTCTTGAGCTCCTACAAATCCTCTTGCCTCAGCCTTCCAAGTGCTGGGGTTACAGGCATGTGCCACCATGCCCAGGAAACATGTTTTTTTAAACAGCACCAATCCTACTGAAGTTAAACCCCTCTGACCCTAAATCACCTCCTAAAGTCATGGTGGAAACTACGGCACACATGCTGCAGCAGGCTGTTTGCATCATGGAAAGCTCTAAAAGGTTCACCATCACTGTCCTAAAGTTTCTACTTCTTAAAAATAAACAGCAATAAATTCCAAAATGAACTTTGGAGGAGACATTCAAAACATAGCAGGTTCAGGCTTTTAGCTACATGATAGCAACCCAGCCTCCAGAGAAAAGAGAGGGGCTTGAGACTGAGTTCACCTTGTGGTAAATGACGCATTCAGTCACATCAATGTAATGAAACCACAACAAAACCTCTGGACACAAAAGCTCAGGTGTGTTTCCCTGCTTAGCAATACTTTGCATATTGTCTTTGTTCAGTGTGCTAGGAAAGTGACATGAAGATGCAGAATATAAGCTTTAGCTTCACAATTAGGATCTTCCAAGACCTCACATTATACATGTCTCCCATAGCTGATTCCAATTTGCAACTTTTCCATGTAATAAGCCATAACTGTAACTAGAATAGCTTGCGGTGAGCTTTGAATCCTTCCAGTGACTTATAGTATCAAACCAATCTTGGGACTCCTGAACTCGCAGTGGGAAAAGGCAGAGTGTTCTCTTTGGAAACTGTTTAATCTATCTTCAGAGCTGTCAGACTCATCACAGAATGACACAAACTTATAAATATATAGTAATCCTTAAAGTAATTTGTAAATTTAATGAGATCCTAAAAAGGAAACAATATTCTAAATGGTACCAAAGAAGGCAAGGGTTGTAGCTCAGTGGCAAAGCACTTGCTTAACATATAAGAGGCCCTGGGTTCCACCTCCAGCAACAAAAAAGAAAAAAGTTAATACTAAAGATCATGTGAGGAAACAAAACGATCAAGATGTGATATGTGTATGTATTAACCTCCAAGCTGAATGCAATCGCTATGAATGGAAAACATATACTATTAAAAAATTTTTTTAACCAAGGCTGGAGATTTAGCTCAGTGCCACAGTGCCTACCTGGCAAGCATGAGGTTGTGAGTTCAATCCCTGGTATGAAAAATAAATAAATATATAAAATAAAGTAAAATAAAATCAGTGTGCAAGAATAACTAGAAAATGCTGGAAAATAAAAACAGAAGGAAGGAATAACCCTACCAGATACCAAAACATACTTTTATCCAGATAGGCTCTTGAAGTCCAAAGTGAAAGGCCTCCTTTTTAATAAATAGTACTAGGACAACTGGAGAAATTTCTGGAAAATATTAAATGAGATCCATATATTATATCATGCTCAAGAATAAAACCAAATAGATACATGAACCAAATATACAAAAATGAAGCCAGCTTGGCATGGTAACACACACCTGGAATTCCAGTTACTCAGGAGGCTGAAGTAGGAGGATAGCAGGTTCAAGGCCAATCTGGGTAACTTAGCAAATCCTGTCTCAAAGTAAAAATAAAACAGCTGAACATGTAGCTCAGTGGTAGAGTACTTGCTTAACATGCAGGAAGCCCTAGGTTCAATCTCCAGTACCACAACAAAACAAAACAATCTAGAAGAAACCACAGGTGAAAGGCTCTATGATATGAGGTAGAGAATTTTTACCTGTGAATAAAATCCAGATGTAGTAAGATTAATTACATAAATATACCATAAAAATAAAAATGACTCGAAAAAACACTTTTGTAAGTTCAAAGATTTAAGTCCAAGTGACAAACTCTGTGAAAAAAAACTATAACATATATCACACATAAAAGGTTAATATTCTTGATATAAAGAGTTCTTAAATATCAAGAGGAAAAAGTCCAAGTACTTGACAGAAAATTGGAGAACAAAGCTGTGCACATGGCACATAACTGTAATCACAGCTGCTCTGGAGGCTAAGGTAGCAGGATCACAAATTCAGGCCAGCCTGGGCAACTTAATAAGTCCCTGTCTCAAAGTAAAAATAAAGTCAGGTATAGAAGCACACACCCATAATCCAAGCACTCTGGTAAACTAAAACAGGAAGATCAAAAACCAAGCCCAGCCTGAATAATTGAGTGAGACACTGTCTCAAAAATTGAGAGTCACTGAAGCTGGAAATTGACCACATGTACAGGGCTGCAGCACAGTCCTCCCAAGAACAACAAGCACCATGGGCAAGGCAGGTGAAGAAGTTGCTTTAGCCCAGAAAAACACCAAGCCTTTACACAATCCAAGCAATGGGTTGCTAGGTAGCAAGTTTGAAATCGACATCTTCTTCTTGTGCTACAGTGGTTGAGCAGTTCCTCTCCTCCCATCAGGAGGGTATGGGCTCCACCTGATCCCAGCTTTTGTCTCTTGTTTATTTTCTCATCATCTCCCCGTTCTTTACCCCAAGAACCTCAAGAGCCACATGGGTCACTGCAAAAATTAAAAATAAAATAAAAAAGGCTTGAAGATGTACCTCAGTATGAAGGCCCTGGGGTCAATTCCCAGCACGGCAAATAAGTAATTTTAAAACAGCCCTCAAACATGTGAAAAGATATTCAACTTCATTCTCTAAGAAAAAAAAAACAATAAAAATTACACAAAGATTCAAAAAAAAAAAATAAGTCTTATGTTGGTGCAGCTATGGAAAAGCAGAATATCTTACATTGTCAATGATATTGGAAAACAGTGCAACTGTAGAAAGGAATTTAACAGTATCTAAAAAAACAGTTATTTTTCCATTTGACCCAGCAGTACTACTTGTAAGAGTTGATATAAAAAACACACCTGCATAAAAAGGAAACAACCTATGTACAATACAATTTGTCGCAGAATTGTTAACTTCAAATTACTGGAAACTACAAAAACTTTCCCATATATGGCAGAGTTCTTGAACAAATTGGCATACCCACTAACAGAATACTATACAGCTATAAAAATGAATGCGGAAAATACTTATAAATATTTGTGGAGTGGTTTCCAGGATGTATTGTTAAGGGGAAAAAACCAAGTGAAAATGAATCTATAAATAAATTATACTACATTTTGTGTACTAAAAAAGGAAATTTAAAAGTGCTTTTTGATGGGTATATGCCTGTACTTCTAGCTACTCAGGAAGCTGAAGCAAGACAAACACAAGTTCCAGGCCAACCTGGGCAACTTAGAGAGACCATGTCTCACATAAAATAAAAAAGGCTGGGTAAGGTAGCTAGCTCAGTGGTAGAGTGCTTACCTAGTATGAAGAAGGCCCTGTACCACAAACAAAAATAAAAATTAAAAACTAAAAATACATCTATCTGCTTATTTGGGAAAAAAACATAAGCACAAATAAGCAAAAAACAGAAGCATAAATTAAAACCTAACAGGACTGTTGTCTCCAAGGCAGAATGGAAGTAGGAAAGAAGGTACAAGGAAGATATGACAATTCTGCATCTTTTTGTATTGTTTTCTCTCTTCAAATCATATTTCAAATATGCTCTTTTTTTGTGTGTGTGGTACCAGGGATCGAACACATGACCTTGCACTTGCCAGGCAGGCACTTATCTGCTGAGCTAAATCCCCAGCCCCAATATTTCAAATATGAAGAAATAATTAAATCAACAAAGATGGGAAAAATAAAATCTAAACTGGAATAGAACCAAAAATATGAACCTAACTTTACACCAAATAAATAAGTACACTGGATAAAAAAAATTAAAGAGAAATTTAAAAACTAGTCCAAATAACTTTTGAACAGAATATTTTAATGACATTGTCTTCGATCCAGATAGAAGGCATACAAACAAATGTCTGTACTAAACAGGTTCCCATCTCACAATAATATGGGCACAGCAATTCTGACTGTCCTATTTATTGCAAGACTAAGCAAATGACTTAACATACTGATGCTAGAAGCCAATGTCTCACTCTTGCAAATCAGGAAAGAGTAGGAAGATTCCTCAGATCTTTGTGAGCTCTAGATATGTATGTACGTGTGTGTGGTGTGTGTAAGTATACACACCATAAGAATATAAGCAAGCATCCTCCCAACACACACAGCAAGGACTCAGAGCCCTCTGGGCAGCCACACTTTTACATATAGCTTCATTCCCTCAGCAGGCCCTTTCCCTAGAGAATGGTTACTCAAATTTCTAGATTGTTAATGCTGCTTCTGTTGGTCATGATGTCAGGTCAGCTGGTCCACAACATAATCCAAATCATAGCTGACAAATTTTCAGTCATTGTAAAAACAACTACTACTGCCAAACAATGAAAATTAACTACCACCACAAATGAAATTACACTACTACTAATCAGTGACTTCCCTATATAATGTGGATAAGAATCTTCCTGGGTAAAAAATCTCTGGGTCTGGTTACTCAGTAATGGGGGTCTCAAAAGAAGAGACTGATGAGCTCCAAACTAAATAATTAATGGCCAGATACTGGGCCACATGGGGCTCAAGAGACAGTCTACACAGTGATAGCCCTCTGACTAATTAACAAGCTCTAGGCTGGAGTACTTAGGAATAGCGTGTCATTGTGTTATTATATCTATAGTTAACAATCAAGCTGTCACCTCCAAAATAAATATAAATGTATATATGCATATGCATGTAAACACAGAACACATATATTTATACAAAGAGAGGAAGTAAAAATAAACCTGGCAAAAAGTCAGTAATTGCTAAGTTTATGTAAGAGATATAATGAGACTTCTGGGAGAACATGGCGGATAGATAGCAGCAGCTGTGGAGGCTCTCTGAGATACCCCACTTAAAATCCAGAAATGGTGTGGGGCAAGAAGTCCTAAGCAAGGGGAGATATACCCTGCCGACCCAGGAACGAACTAAACTAAGAGAAACCAACTGGAAACGCAATCCCAGTGCTATAACAGGAACAGATAAGGTCTCAGTGCGGAAGCTGGACCCCGCACCACTGGAAGCCGTGATTTGAATTTCCTGCAGCTGCTGCTGTGTCCCAATCGGCACAGCAAGAAGAGAGGCGTGAAAGCTCTGAAAGTGGGAAACGGTGAATGGAGTTGAGAGTGGGACTGGTCGGGAGCCCTGCATCGACCTGCGGTGAGTGAACGAATTGGGGACCCTTCCATAGAGTAGGAGGCTTCAGCAAAGGACATACTGGGACCAGGCAAACTAGCCGGAACAGGATGCTGCAGTGTCCTTAGTTGCATATTCCCCTCTCAAGTGGGATTAGTGGGGAGTGCCTGGCCTGGGCATCGCCGCTGACTTAAGACACAGTAGGCAAGCCCAAACCAGGTCCCAGCACCTGGAGTTGCATGCTAGCAGTGAAGCCTTCAGTAGCTTGACCTGGAGGGGTGGGCCAAGGATAGGCTGCCCAGGTCTGTGTCTCCCTAGTACACTGCAGTGGGTGGGAACACCTAGCCGGCGCAATTCAAACGAACTGTAACGGACAAAGAAAAAACTGGGCCTCCTATATACGCTTGTATGGAAGGAACAAAAAATATGGGAAGGGGAAGCAACAAGAAAGGGTCCAAGGCCCCCAGTCCTGAGAAACATGCAATATCAGACACAGCACCAATAGACATAAAGCGATATCTCCAGAGCCTCATAGACAAGTTCAGGAATGAAGTTATTAATGACCTAAGGCAAGATATACATAGAAGAGTTTCAGAAATGCTAAGCACCGCCCAAGGAAAAACAGATGGTGGAATAGAAGAACAGAAAAAAAGGGGAAAATTGTTTGACAGAGAACATAGACAAAACATAGAATATGTGAAGCAGGTTCAAAGAGATTACCAGGAAACTAAAAACTCTATCGAAAACTGGCATAATAGCTTGAAAGAAACTAAGGATAGATTATCGGAACTGGAGGACAGATTTGTAATGTGGGAGCATGAAATGAAAAACTTCTTAAAAATAAGAAATCAAACAGCAATAATACAAAGGCTAGAAGATGATAAGAGGATCTATAACTTAAGAATTAAAAACATAAAAGTAGGGACACAAACAAATGGACTACAAAAGCTATTCACAGAAATAATCCAAGAGAATTTCCCTAATTTAGCAAAAGGTAAAGATACTCAGTTGTATGAAGCATACAGGACCCCAGCCACCTACAACCCAAACAGAGCTACACCCAGGCATATAATAATCAAAATTCCAGAAATCCAATATAAGAGCAGAATATTAAAAGCCATCAGAGACAAGAAAAAGATCACTTATAAGGGAACATCTATCAGAATTACAGCAGACTTCTCGACACAAACCATCAAATTACAAAGAGTGTGGAGGGAAATAATTCGAGCTTTGAAAGATAATAACCTCCAGCCAAGATTGATATATCCTGCACAACTGTCCCTGGAAATTGATGGAAAAACAAAGTGCTTCCAGGATAAAGAGGAACAAGGGGAATTTGCCACCACCAATTCAATTCTATAGAGAATACTGCAGGATATTCTAAAAAAGGAAAATACCAAGATTCCTGAAATAGTGGCAAAAAGGCCACAATGAATGGAGCATAAAGTGAAATGAAGATGACAAACTGACAACAAATGACAGAAAAAGAGCTCAACAGAAACGAGGCAGAGAAGATTGGATGGTAGGAACAGCCATTTTGGAGAAAACAAGACATCATAATAGCTAGTGCTGATTTAGTATCATCTTGTTTTGAAGTCCCATCAAGCTTTTATTCTTCTGTCTCCACCAGTCTTAACAGGTTGTATCTTATTGTATTTTACTATAAGTGATAATATAGGCAAATCTTTTATAGACAAGGAGATTATACAGAAACCATTGTTCATTTTATGTTAGTTGGTTCTAAATACCCTGTAATACTGTCATTCTCTTGAATGGTTTTACATTGTCTGGATATCATTGGTGCTACAGTATACAAAGTTATACTCAAAGATTTCAAGGAAAGAGACACTCTGGTAACTACTTTTATGTCAGGATGGTGAAACACTATTTTGCTTAAATGGTTATGTTTTGACCTGTGCTGTTTTGTTGTTATGCCCCCTTTTATCTCAATCTTTTTTATTATTTACTTTTTTTATTTTTATCAAGGGAAAAATAAAAAAATAGCAGGATATATTATAGTAACCCACTTAGATTTCCTATTAATTTGATTTGAAACACTGTATTGCCCTCATCATCTTGTTTTGACTGATTTTCCTCTATTCTGTTTTGCTTGATAGTACCAAGTTTGAAAGTATAGGCAACAACTATGAAGACAATAGGATTCATTATGACGCCCATTCCGATTGACTATTATCTTCTTTTAAAGTCCTGTAATGTCTCCAATGTTTTGGTTTTATTCTTTACTGTTTTGTTCAATTTTATTATAAATGATGATATAGGCAATTCTTCTTAAGATAACAAGAGGCATTATGGTAACCATTGTTGATCACCTCGTATTTTGTTTTTACATTATCTATTATGTCCATCCTTTTGATTTGACTGACTCTGTTCTGATATGTCGCATTTGGTTTTACTCTTTTCAAAAAAAGTAGTAAGAACTGTGGGAGTAATAAAACCCAAAATGTGTAATTGTATTTGTACAAAAGAAAGGAAAACAAAGTGCTCTAAAGGTTATAACTGCATATATGTTTAAGTGTATAAGATAGATAACCATATTACTGAGTTTTGTTGGATCATTGAACAAAACTGTTTGCAGTCTCACTGTTTGAAAGTTCACTTTATATGCTTTAATTTTGTAACTTGAACAACTATTTCTAAGGTGAGAGTATGTAATCTATTAACTAGTGATTTCTGTTTATTTTTTAAATTTTGTATTATTGTACCATTTTTCTGTTTTTTTCTTTTTCTCCTTAAATAAAATTTAATTTAAAAAAACAGAGATATAATGAATTTTTTCACTATTCTTGCAACTTTACTGGAAATGGTTAACACATATGGACATTTGGTCAACCAAATAAATAAATAAAAGTGAAAATAAGAAATTGCCCATCAATTATCTGCTTGGCAAGGTCTACAAACACTGATAATACATATTTTGGGAGACAATACAGTCATCCCTCAGCATCCACAGGGGACCGATATCAGGACCCTTGATACCAAAATTTGAGAGTGCTCAAGTCACCTATATCAAACAGCATGATATTTGCAAATGACCTGTGCATATTTATTTATTTAATTTTATGTTTTGTCTTTTGGATAGGGTTATTGGCCTTAGGCTCACTTTGTAGCCCAGGCTGGTCTCAAAATTGCAATGATCCATCTGCCTCAGCCTCCTGAGTGCTGGGATTACAGTAGTGCACCACCATGACTGGCCAGCCTCCCATCTAAATCATCTGTAGATCATTTCTAATACCTAATACAATGTAAATGTTATATAAATAACTGCTACATTGTATTATTTAGAAAATAATGACAATAGTGCATACATGTTTGGTATGGACAATTTTTTAAAATATTTTAAATCTCTGGGTGGTTGAATCCATGGATATAAAACCCACAGATAGGAAAGGCTGGCTGTATTTAGAAACAGATATTCTGTTGCACCATTCATGTATATGACCTTGTTACAAATCTTTTTAAAAGAGAATCTGGCAATGCCTCAAAAATTAATGTATTTCAGAAACTACAGTTATAAAGTTGGGTGTGGTGGTATATACCTATAATCCCCAATCTCAGGAGGTTGCCATGAGTTCGAGACTAGCCCAGACTACAAAGTGAAACCTTAACTCAAAAAACAGAAAAAAAAAAAAGAAAGAAAGATAGACAGACAGAGACAGAGACAGAGAAAGAAAGAAAAAGAAAGAAATTCCAGTTCTGTGAATGTATCTTACAAAAATGTCACATCAAGAATGCAGCCATATGGTCTGGCTGACTGCAGCCCTTCCAGGGGGAGAACCAGCAATGGCTCCTGAGATCCACGCCGTGTTGGAACTTAGGACTATGGGCAGCCAAGCAAGCACCTCCCCTCCCTGGTAAGCGGTGGTGGTCTGGCCGACTGCAGCCTTTCCAGGGGGAGAACCAGCAATGTCTCCTGAGATCCACACCATGTTGGAACTTAGGACTCTGGGAAGCCAAGCAAGCACCTCCCCTCCCTGGTAAATGGAGGCAGTGTGGCAGACTGCAGCCCTTCCAGGGGCAGAACCAGCAGTGTCTCCTGAGATCCACGCCATGTTGGAACTTAGGATCCTGGGAAGCCAAGCAAGCACCTCCCCTCCCTGGTAAGCGGTGGTGGTCTGGCTGACCACAGCCCTTCCAGGGGGAGAACCAGCAGCAGCTCTTGAGATCTGCGCCATGTTGGAACTGAGGACGCTGTGAAAACAAATGACCATCCTGCCTCCCTGCTAAGCAATAGTGAACCTACTGCTACATGGCCTAGAGTCAAATATCCCACTTCCCCTGACCTCCTTCTCTTCTCCCCCAATTAGCAAATGGGAACCAGAAATCTGAGCATCTCCTGGGAGGTTGACCATAGCAAATAAGGGGGACTTCCTTCTACCATTTCTTTGAAGGCAAATATTTTTATTACTGTTTGCTCTTTTCTGATTAATGGTACTGCTCCATTCAATATTCTGTTTTGATAAGTTCTATAGTGTTCTATATTTCATCTCATTTTGATATACGTGATTGAAAGAACAACTATTATAAAGATAACAAAATATACTGTGATACCTATTACTGTTATCCTGGTAACCTGCTGTGAAGTTCTGTACCAATTTCACTGTACGATCTTAGTTGGCTTTATTCTGACTTATTCTGTTGTATACTTTCAAAATAAAAATAAAATACAAAAAAAGAATGCAGCCATACCAAGACATTCATTGACTTCCTAACTTGCTGGGAGAGGACAGAATGGAAGTAACCTAGTCACATTTTATAAGGGAACAAATAAAATTATGAGTCTGGTATGATGGTGCATGCCTCCAAAGCCCAGCACTCAGGGAGGCTGAGGCAGAAGGATTATACATTCGAGCCCAGCCTGGGCAACTTAGTGGCTTCATGATACAGAATGAAGGCCCTGGGTTCAATCTCTAGTAATGAAAACAAAGAAAAATAGAAAGGAGAAAAGGAAAGAAAACTGTTATGTGTTTGAATTATAATTTTTATAGGCTGAATTGTGTTCTCTACTTCCCCCAGTTCATATGCTAAAGCATTAACCCACAAAGTACTGATAGGGCCTTTCAGGGAGTAATTAAGATAGAAAAAGGCCATATGGGTAAGGCCATAATCTAACAGGACTGTTGTCCTTCTAAGTAGGAACACCAAAAACCACCGCCCACACACATCCCTTCTTGGTAAATCCACAGAAGAAAGTCTACATATAGACAGAGTGATGGCCAAGCAGAGGCCTCACCTGAAACCAGGCCTGCCTGGCACCCTTGATCTTGGACTTCCAGTCTCTAGAACTGTGAGAAAATTAATTCTTGTTGCTTGAGCCCCTCAGTCTGTGGTATTTTGTTATGGCAGCCTGAATGTGAACTAATACAGGTTGAATTCTAGGGATTAGAAGTGTTTCCGATTCGATTTTTTTCTTTTGAAGTTTGGAATATATGCACATACATACTAGTATCTTGGGGATGGAACCCAAGGCTAAATATGAAAATCATTTATGTTTTATACATAACTTATACACACATAGCCTAAAAGTAATTTATACAGAATTTTTAATGTAACAGTAATTTGACTGTGATCCATCACATGAGGCCAGGTAGGGAATATTCCATTAGTGATATATGTCAGTGATCAAAAAAATTATTTTTTTCAAATGTTTACTTTTGTATGTTTGCACTACATAATGTTTACATTCATCATGGAAAGCTGATACATGTACATAACATATCTTACTCAAAAAGTGTTACATTGGCTGGGCATGGTGGGGCACGCTTGTAATCCCATCACTCAGATGGCTGAGGCAGGAGGATTGCTATGAGTTGAAAGCAGTCTGAACTGCATAATGAAACCCTGTCTCAAAAAAACGTGTTAAGATTTTGGAGTACTTCAGACTTCAGATTTTTGGGTTAGGGATTCCCAACCTGTTTGATAATCACATGCAGTTTAGGAGAACTAGATTCTGGAAAAATGATCACACTGTGGTTATTCAGCATTTGTTAAATTACTATGTGTAGTGGAAACCATAAACTGTCCACCTGTAAATTACAAGCTTTATTTGTATAAAAATAGATATTATATAGTAATGGTAGACTTCAAATCTGGACTTGATAGCACAAACTCCCCTTTCCTTGCTTTACCCCAACCAAGTATATGACCTAGAAGTAACACAAGAGGCAACCAAAAGAGTCTGAAAGCAAAAAAGTAGAAAGAAGCCTTGTTAGGGACCAAGGACTTAACAGTAGCAGAGCATTTTATGACCCCCCCTCCCCAACCTAACAACAGAAAGCAGTCCAGGTAGTGCATATCAGCCTTCTGGAAAATCAACATGTGTCCCTCCAATACCACTGGACAAACCTTGGGACACCAGCAAAGAAGATGAATGAATAGCCTGGCTGACAATAAGCAGCAGGGAAAATGCTTTTATTCCCTCACTGAGCCTAAAGACTTCTTGGCAATTAGCAAGGCAAAGGGTTCCCTCTCACAAAAAGCACCCAGCTAACAAACACTCTCCATCTCCCCAGACAAAAAACAGAGAGGAGGAACTGTGCAGACCCCATAGCGGGAAATCTGACACCAAAGGTACCCAATGCAGGAAGCATGCATTTTCCACTGTGGAGAGAATTCCTGTAATCTTACATTACCTTGGAATCCATTGTGAACTAAGCTGGACTTTCTCACACCAGCAACACAGCTCAGTCACCCTTGGTGTACTTTCCAGTTTTCACCTCCTCCCAATTCCTCAAGGTGGTCAGATACCTTCCTTTTACAACCAACTGCCAGTGATGGATGACCTTCCTGTAGGACAGCCAGGTACAAGCTACTGGACTCGTCTCACTCACCCCCATACCCCATATGAATTGCAGATTTGGCACAGTGGCCTCTCTCAGCCATACTGTGACTCAAGGGAACTCATACCCGCTTGCTTTAAATAATCCAGTTAGAACTCTCCTAGGTAACAGACTACAAAGAATCCCCTCCTTAAAGAAAATCAGTATTTGGCCTTTGCTCCCAGTTCCCAACACACATGAGAATAATCAACAAACACCAGGATGGAACTGTCATAGACCTTGCAACTGTTAGAACGTCTGTGCAACAGCTCCTATAAAAACACCCCAAAAGGGGCTGGGGATTTAGCTCAGCGGCATAAGCGCCTGCTTTGCAAGCAGGCAGTCGTGAGTTTGATCCTCGGTACTGATAAAAAGGAAAAAGACAAAAAAAAAAAAAAAAAAAACACCCCAAAAGTAAGGGCAAAGTCTTTGGAAACCAAGAGAAGAATAGAAAATCTCACCAAAGAAACAGGTGATCTAAAGAACTGGGCATTCTAAGTTGAAAGACAATGACTGAAATAAGACTGCATTAGAAGGACTCAGTAGCACAACAAAGATAACAAAAAAGGGCAGGAAGCTTCCCACTGAATCAACAGAAATTACACAGTCTGAAAAACAAAAATGAAATACTAAAAAAAAGTGAGTGGTACTTCTGGGACCCGTGGGACCAAATTCAGGTCACCAAGTCCCAAAAGAAAAGGAGAAATAAGATAGTTCAGAAGAATATTTGAAGCAATAATTCTTGACTAATTCCCAAATTTGTTAAAAGACATGGATCAATAGGTTCAAGAGGCTCGGCAAGCCGCAGGACAAATCCAGAGCCAGATGCATCTTCAAATTAAGGACAAAGCAAAAGTAACACATAATGAGGAACAATTATTCAACAGCGTCTAACCAGAAACCACAGAGCACAGAAAGAAGCAGAATAACACTGTTGACGTGCCAAAAGAAAATAACAGTCCACTAAGAAATCTATAGGCAGTGGAAATTTCCACGAGGAATAAAGGTGATATAAAGACATTTTCAATGAGGGAAAACTAAGAAACTGTTGCCAGAAGGCTTGCTCTGAAACAATTGCTAAAAACAGTTGAAAGATAGATAACTGATAACAGAAGAGAATCCAAATCAATAACAATAAAGGCAGAACATCAGAAATGGTATAAACAAGGGTAAATATAATAGATTATCCTTCTCAGTTCTTTAAAATGTGTTTGATAGCTGAAATCAAATCATAACATGGTAAAGCCAGATATGGTGGCACGTGCATTGTAGTCCCAGATACTTCAAAGACTGAGGGAGACGAATCGTTCAAACCCAGGAATTCAAGGCTAGCCTGAGCAACATATTAAGGCCCCATCTAGAAAAGAATTATAACAGTGTCTAACGGGGTTTTCAATGAATGTAGATGTAATGAGATAATTAAAACATAAAGGTGAGAAGGTAAAGAGATTTACATGATGGTAAGGTCTATGCATTCTACTTAAAGAGGTAAAATATTGAGCATAGTATAATGTTAATTATACATATAGTCACCAAAAACTATATAAATAAATATAGTCCAAAAACACACTGCTGGGTATGGGTACACACCTGTAATACCAATACACGGGAGGCTGAGGCAGGAGTATTGGCACAAGTTTGAGACCAGCCTGAGCTACAGAGTGAGGCCCTATCTCAAAGAAACAAAAAATAAACCACATAACATATAAGGAGCTCAGTGGTAGAGCATATGCCTTGCATACACAAGATCCTGGGTTCAATTCCCAGCATCTAAAAGTAAAAACTACAACACGACAAATGAATGAAAACTGGTAGAAAAAAAAGAGTTCAAATTCTCAGCACCCAGACTTCTTTGATAACACCTTCAGCCCAGCACGTACTGAACAGTCACAAAACACTGCACTAATAAGGACTAAAAGCAGCACAATGTGAGTTAAGACAAACACCACTTTTTCCCCAGAGCAATGCCGTATCTTTCCCGAAAAGGTTAAAACACACAGACACCCTTACCTAAATCTAAAGAGCCTTTTTGAGGCCTAACCAATTTGCAGCTCTGATGTGCAACTTTACATGCAATACAGGTGCTTCTGAAAGATTAGCAAAGAACAAGATGTCCTAGGAATGCATTTGCCAAATCAAACCCTTTCCCACAGCTTCGCTCCCAATCTCTCGACTCAATGGCAGACTCCCTTCTTAGAAACTAGCCTATTTCTCTTGACAGTGTCTAAGTAACTTCTTGTCTTTCCTACATTCCTTGGTCTATTGGTAAATTTTTATCACCCACATCACAGGCCTTCTATATGCCATCTGGTGACGCATATGGGGAATGTCTCTCCTTGCCTTTCTTGGCCTGTTCACACTGGTCAACAGATCAGCCAGTGGGCAACTGTAGGTCCCTGACAGGTAACTCCCTGGTGGCATTCAAAGGCCTCTAAGTTGTGATCTAGATGGTCATGGCCCATCAGAGTAAAAGCTATAGAGGGTCTTTCGGACCTTTGAGGAAAGCCTTACTTCCCACTTGCAACTGACAGACCCTGGCTGGGACCACTCTATAGTGGGCCTGAAGGTAGCAAAAAAAGAATATCTTGTTATAGACTGGAAGGATAAGGGGTCACACTCTTCCTTTGGGACTCTCGTTACTCTCAATGCACAGTGCTAGACGGTAGCAGCTTATCAGTGTGAACCTGTACGTATCCCACCCTTAACTGCTGGATCCGTTCCCTGTGGCTGCAGGCTTCTAACTGCCTCTTCCCCCTCCATCTGCTAATTTTCTTGATCCAGAAGACTCCCAAGTGACCAGGTTTTCCATTCTCCACGATGTTGAGTTCCCCTTCCAATGACTATTCAGTGGTCACCATGACTGGTCCAAGACTTTCTCTTGCTCTTGTGTTACTTGCTCTTCTGATCTAACTTGATCAACTGGACAGTGGCCCCAGAACCACAGTGGCCACAGAGTGAAGCTGGCCTTCACTTTCATGGGTGGGAAGTCCCCTCTCTTTGGGGAATGCCCCAAAAGCACACATCTCATGTGCTTCCCTGGAATAGATGACCCATCACCCTAAGGGACACTTTTTGGATGGACATATTTCCATAAGACTCATAATGGGCTTTGTGTCTTTCCTTTGACTCACTTCTAAGCTTTATTCTTCTTAAGGACTGGTCTAGATTTGCACCCTTTACTCTTGAGAAATGTCTCATTTTCTTATGCAATACTGTCTGGCTGCCACATAAGCTCCCAGATTAGGAACTTTGGTCCTTCAGATGCAATGGAAGTCTAATAAATTATAATACCATAATACAGCTTAACAACTTCTATCACAATTAGGGCAAAGCTTCTAAAGCCTCTTACATTCTGTTGTACTCTAAGAAAAATAGCTTCCTTATATGTTTTCCTTCTCCCTCTGGGTGACCTAATTGATATGTTAATCAATGCTCTTCTCTGTAAAGAATTGCAAAATCTCACCTAATTGATATGTTAACCAGTGTTGCCCTCTACAAACAACAGATTTGGTGCTAAAACAAGCTAACAGGGGTTGTTAATCACTGTTGGACTTCTCTATTCTCTGCTGAGGAAAACCAGGATGTTTCCCTGATTTAAACTTGTTTGAAGTAACTTGCTTGTATGCAGGGAGACTTGCTTGTTAGCACAACCCTTACCTGATCTTGCTCTCCCCAAGGAATGTAATCTCGCCATATTTTCTGTTCTGTAATGCGCACTGCCTTCCCCCTTTCCCTACCTGGTGGTAGTGTGTCACAAAATGTGCTAATTGCTCTGTTCTTAAGAAATGCTCAACTTCAAAGAAAGTACAAAAATGTTGTGGCTTAACCCTAATGCAACAAAAGGGTTAAGTTCCAAATCCTCGTAAAAACTTAAGTTTCAGCTTCTTGTAACTTTCGACCCCTTCCCACATGTGTTAACAAGCTGTCCTGAGATAATTAACTTTCTACTTTCTTCTCCAAATGTTATTGCAAATGTGCTATTCCAAGATAATGCTTATCTGCAGGACAGGAGTAACTCAAAAGGCACCAAAGGCTCCCGATGTTGTCAGAACTAAGTGGACAGCTTTACAGTTTCCAGATTTGGGTCAACAGTTTAACGGCTCTGCGGGTTTCTTTTGTTTCCAACCCCCCTCCTGCTTTTTAAATCCCTTCTCCAGTCTCGGGGGTGTACAGTCTCCAAATTGGCTCCCGGAGACTCATCGCCAGGCCTGGCCTAAATAAAACCTTTGATCCCCAAATTTCAGTTTCTTGCTTCTTTGGATTTTATACTGGGGTCCGAGCTATCACACATTCAAGCCTTCATGGCCTTCTCAGAGGATTCCAGACTTCTGGAGGACAACCATGTGTGCCTTTCTAAATCCTCTCATAGTCCACTTTCTTCAGCTCCAACTTCTGACAACGATGTCCTTGCTGATCCTTCTTTCAGTTACCTTCAGGTCACAGTTCAGCTTTCAGTGTTTCCTCCACCAGACAGCTCTCTTTATGTCCCTGCCCCCTCCACATGTGCATGTTCTTTCCTCCTTATGACTCACGTGGTGTAACTCTGTACTGATAAAATAACCAAAGCACTACAAGAGATCTCTGTTATGATTCACTTAAAAGTATAAGAGTGCTATGCTATCCCCTAGGGAAATTTTAGTTGATTAATCTATTTAAACTGAGAGAACAAAAATTATCATAATCCAATTTGGTCAATATAGCTAAAGTGCACTCTGACTTAATGTTATAATGCTATGTGTCTGGTCTGTTTGTCTGCCTGTTAATCTGTGTTTATAATAACTGGCCTCAGGCACAGGGAGCTGCTCGACAAAGCTTCCTCTGTGGCTGAAAAAACAGCTGCCTAAACCAGTTTGCTCCAGTTTGCTCCACAATGGATGACTTCTCCAGTTTTCCCCAGGGTCTCTAACTCCTGAGATTAGGGGAAATACTGTCAGCAAACAATGTGACTTAAAGGAAAAAGATCTGTGTAAGACCACAGGGGTCATGGGATGGTCCCTTCATTGTAATAATAGAGGCTGAACCCCAATTCTAAGCAAAATGAGTACAAGAAAAACAGACATGGCTAACAGAGAAGTGTCAATGCCGGCGGGGGTGGGGATGGGCTGGGGGGGGGACACTGCCAGGAAAATAAAGGAAAAGGTCTAGACCACCAGATTGAGCTTCCACCGGAACCTAACCCTAAATTGATACAGAGAGTAAGTCAGGGTAAGGCTAAATATCATGTTAAGAAAAAAAAAAGTGGTTCTTAGGGTATACAGAGCCTGCACAGGGTCCTGGAAAATAGCAAGGTGAAGCCTGACTGCCATCTCAGGATTTCAAAGGGGAAAACAGCCATCATGATGACCTGTGAAAAAGGAGATGCAGACCCTTGGGAAACACTGATTGGTAAATTTACTTTTAAATTCTGTGGTTTAAGTTAACATTTTTTATGATCAATGATCCTAAAATGTTTCTTATAAATAACTTTGGGATGGTTCTTAAATTAAAATTTAATTAATTATAACACCATAATACAACTGAACAACATTTATCACAGTGAGAGCAAAGATTCTAAAGCCCTTACATTCAAGCCTTCATGACCTTCTAACAGGACTCCAGATTTTGGGAGGACAACCACGTGTGCCTTTCTAAATCCTCTCATAGTCCTCACAGTCTGGGGTTAAATTTGTTCTGTTGCCACTTTCCACTTGTACTAAGGTAATTTGTCATTTAAGACAAAGTAAAATCTTAAAGATTCATCAGTCCTAACTAAAAAATAACATTGTTATTCTTCTTTCTACTTTCTTCTGGTACTAAGATAATTTACTGTTCAAGGTTACTTGGGAGTCTATTATCCAGCCAGCTCTAATTAAAATATAACTTTTGCGAGTTAAATCTGAGATGAAAAATGTGCTAGGAACATTTTAAAATCTAAACAGCCATGTAGCTTGTATAAAAAAGAAAAAGTTAAAAATAGGAAATATAAAAATTATATGAATAAGGATATGGTAAAATTTAGTCCTACCAAAATGGCTAAATAAGCATTCTGTTATTATACAGATGAGACACACTTATACATAGGGTAAATAACTCTATTTGTGTTCATTAACATGATTTCCAAAACTTAAAAAAGTCTAAACTAGCCTTTGATTTTTTATTATTACCATTATTATTACTATTATTATTATTATTACTGAGACAGGGTCTCATTATATAATTCAGGCTGGCTTTGAACTTACTATGTACCTCAGACTGGCCTTGAAGTCACAGTGACCCTCCTGCCTCAGCCTCCCAAGTGCTGGGATGACAGGCATGAGCCACTATGCCCAGCTAGCCTTTTATTTTTGTCAGGGATGCTAACTTGTGTAAAATTAATGAAACTGCCACTCTGATAATCAAATGGATTAGATAGTAAGAATCTAAAAAATGGTATCTGTGAACAAAAAGCCCATTGGTTCTGGTATAACATTGTCAGCTATGATTATCTTAATATACTATATAAAATAAATAAATTACTTCATCAATTATTAAACTCATCAAACTTCTAAGCATGATTACTTCAAGTCTTATCATCCAAAGTTCTGATTTTTCTCTGAAATATTTATAACCAGATTCATGGGAAAAAACTCTTAACAAACAAAACGGATTCTTTGATTATCTTCAATAAAAATTGATAAAAAATCACTTCTTGATTCAAAACTGTTATACAAATTAAATTTTACTCTAGTTTGCTTTATATTTTCTTTTTAACTTTATATCTGCTATCTCTGAAAATTCTGCAGAGTACAATTCCTAATAGAGATCTCTGATCCAATGTTTTGAGATTTTAATAGTCATCTACAAAATAGGTAAACTTAATAATGGACTCCAGGTTAACTTGGCTTAAGAACTACTTTTAGACTCTTTGTTGCTCAACTCTGTTAAAAGGTGCAATGACACTAACTGTAAATAATCAATTACTTCCCCTCTATGTATCACCAGATTAGACCAATGAGCAGAATGGCATCCTAGCAACAAGAGACAATAAAAGCAATGATTAATCAGGGACCTCTTCAGGAAAAAGAGAGGATATAACAAAAGCATGAGAGCTGTCAAAATCAAATTAGAGTCATTTGCATCAATCCTACCAAAAGACAGAGTTGAGAGGTTATAAGGTAGAATTCTTATGCATAAGTACATGATAATAACTATCACGAAGCACCTATTTGGGCCTGGCTTTCAAACACTTCTTCATAAAACTGGTTACTAACAATTATTCTCATTATTATAATAATAATTCCCTTTGGTTCATGTTTGTGCAACTGCCTTCTCCAGCTTATTTCTTCCAGAATCCCACAGTTATCATATATATGCCTCAGATCACCACCTGAACCTACAGCAAAGCTCCATTTGGATCTTGTCAACCAGTTAAGGTCTGTACTTTAAGATCAAGATCACTCACCTCTGACAATCAACAAACTCAAAAGGGCCCCTAATGATGGACTGGACGATTGGTGGTCCTACTCAGCTTAAGGCAGTTAAGGATGTGACCACTTTATTCCTTGTCAATAATTTGACTTTGCACCCAGACTTCTTTGATAACACAGGTCAGTACAGCATGTACTAGACATTCACAAAGCACCGCACTAATGAAGACTAAAAGCACCACCAGATAAAAGTAAATATAAAAACCATCCTTTCTGAGTTAGTATTCTATCTTTCCCAAAAAGGTTAAAACACACTGATACCTTTATCTAAGTCTAAAGAGCCTTTCTGAAGACCTAAGAAACCTTGACAATTTGAAACTTTGATGTAAAGCTTTAATTACAGCACAGGTACTCTTAGAAAATGAAAGAACAGGATGCCCTGCAAAATGTATTTCTAAGATATTTGCATTTGCCACCTCAGACCCTTTCCCACATCTTCACCTGCTCATAAAAACTCCAACCTCCCTACCTGCTGGCAAGATTCTTCTCTTGTCAGTGTACTCAGTGATCTAAATAAACTCCTGTCTTTTCTACATCTCTTGTGTACTGGTAAATTCCTTTTACTATCTGCACACCACTCTGCTATATGCCATCTGGCATAGCAAAACTGTAATAGAAAAATGTTCAGCCAGGCCTTGTGGCCCACACCTTGCTCTCTGGGAGGCTGAAGCAGGAAGATCCCAAGTTCTAGCCTAGCCTGGGCAACTTAAAAAGACCTTGTCTCAAAATAAAAAGTAAAAAGCTGCGGATATAATTCAGTACAAAGGCCCTATGTTCAATCCCTAGTGGTATACACACATTCAAATAATGCAAAAGGCAGAAAAATAGGAACAGAAAAATAAGAAAGAAAGAGTAGCAAATAATGAGTATCAACAATTATATTAAATTTACATGGACTACAACATCCTGTAAAAGACAGAAATTTTCAAAATAGATTAGAAAAATATTACCCACCTGCAATGGATTGAACTGCATGCACTAGTCAATGCATGCACTGAAGCTCCAACATCCAAGCTGACTGTATTTGGAGATGGGCCTTTATGGAGGTAATTAATATTAAATGACATCATAACAGCAGAGCCCTAACGTGACAGAAATATTATCTATATGAGGAATGGACACCAGAAGTCTCTTTCCATGTGTGAACAGAGGAAAAGCCATGAGGGACCATCCAACCTTAGGAATAAAAAGTTTTTAACAGAGTGATGGCATTAAAATAGAAGAGGTGGGGGGCTGGGGATTTAGCTCAGCAGCATAAGTGCCTGCCTTGCAAGCAGGCAGTCGTGAGTTCGATCCCTGGTACTGATAAAAACGAAAAAGACAAAAAAAAGAAAACAGAAGAGATGTTATTAGAGCAGAGAAAGTGGATAAGGGAAAAGGAGACAGGGGCATAGGGAGCAGGAACGACCAAACTATGTTACATGCATGCATGATTGTGCCAAAATGAAACCCATTAGTCTATACAACTAATATACATTATAATTTTTTTAAATTAGGGCATGGTGGTGCACACCTGTATTCCCAGCACTCAAGAGGCTGAGGCAGGAGGACAGTCGTGAGTTTGGGGCCAGCCTGGGGTACATACTGATTTCAAGGCCAGTCTGAAATACATAGTGAGACACTGTCTCAAAAAACAACAACTTTCCCCCAAAATATTGAGATGTTATGCTGGATATAGTGGCGTGTAACTGTGATCTCAGCTCTTGAGAGGCTAAGGCAGCAGGATTGCCACAAATTCAAGGTCAGCCTGAGGTTTATAATGAGTTCAAGGCTGGCCTGAACTACATATCAAGATCTTGCCTCAAAAAAAAAAAAACCAGACAACAACAATCACAACAAATCATCACTTTGCCACATGTGCTGACTCACATCTGTAACCCTAGCATTCAGGAGGCTGAGGCAGAAGGATCACTGTGAGTCTGAGGCCAGCCTAGGCTACATAGTGAGTTTAAAACCAGTCTGAACTACATAGTGAAACTCTGTCTCAAAAAAAATTAAAAATAAAAAGTTGATCATCTCTGAATCAGAGTGCCCTTACCAGAGACCAAATCAGCCAGCATCTTGATCTAGGACTTCTCAGACTCCAGAACTGTGAGAAAATAAATTTCTATTGTTTATGACACTCAACCTATACTACTTTGTTATTGCAGCCCTGGCAGGTTACTATCTAAAAGAAAATATATCCATGTAATAGTAGAAGTAGAAAAAAAAAAGGAAAACAGGTACACTATTGCAATATTAATCAAAGGAAAACTGGAATGGCCATATTCCTAACAGCCAAACTAAACTTCAGAGAAAAATACAGGAATCATCCAAGAAAATGAGTCACACTGTAGGGACAAAAGGTCAATTTATCAAAGAGGTATAATACACATAACAAGGCATGTATAACACTTCAAAATACATGAAGCAAAACCAAGCATAGTAGTGCATGCCTGTGCTCCCAGCTATTCAGGAAGCTGTAGCAGGTGGATCCCAAATTCAGTTTTGTAAACCTGCCCTTGCCTGGGTGTGGTGGCACACACCTGTAATCGCAGTACTCAGAAGGCTGAGGCATGAGGATCAGTTGTGAGTTGGACCACAGAGTGAGTTAAAAGCCTGGCTGAACTACATAGTAAGACTCTTCCTTAAAAGAATTTTTAAAAAGATCTGCCTCAAAATAAAAAAGATTGGGGATGTAGCTCAGTCATAGAATGTCCTTGGGTTCAATCTTCAGTACCATAAAAATATGCATATGAAGCAAAAACTGAAACACTTGACAGGAGAAATAGGCACACAGACACTTCAATATTCCTTTCTCAGGAACTAGAAGAACCAATAGACATAAAATCAACGAGAATATAGAAGTAATAATGTCATCAACCATCTGTATGCAAATGATATATATAGAACATTCCACTAAAAAAATCAAGAGAATACATGTTTTTTCAAGTGTCTATGGAATATTTACCAAGACAGACCATTCTGTGAGTCAGAAAACAAGTTTTAACAAATTTAAAGTAATTTAAATCATTTTTAGTATGTTTCCAGACTATAAAAAAAATTTTTTTTAGAAACCAGTAACAAAATATAACAGGAAAATTGGTAGACATTTGGAAATTAAACATCATTCTTCTAAATAACATACAGGTCTAAGAGATAGTCTTAAAGAAAATTAGAAAATACATTGAACTGAACAAAATGAAAATACAACATGCAGAAATATGTAGGATGCAGCTAAAGCAGTAATGGAAATTTTATAGCATTAAATGCATACACTGAAAAAAGTTTTAAATCAACAATCTAAGCTTCCTTAAGAAGCTAGAAAGAAAGCAAAATAAACCCAAAACTAAAGACCACAATAAAGAGCATTCAGTAATGAAATTTAAAACCAAATACAATAGAGAAACTCAATGAAACCAAAAGTTGATTAGTTGAAGACAAGATTTATAACTCCCTAGCAAGTTGACAAAAGGAAAATATAGAAGATAGCAATTAGCAATATCAGAAATTAGGGCTGGGAATATAGCTCAGTGGCATAAGTGCCTGGCTGGCAAGTGCAAGGTCCTGAGTTCAATTCCTTGTACCAACAAATATATATATATATATATATATATATATATATATATATATATATATATCAGAAATTAAATTACAGACATTCAAAGGATAACAAGGGATTGCTTTAAACAACTCTATATACTTAGGTGGACAAAAAGCAATTTTTCAATAACCACCAACAAACCCACCTAAAAGAGATAACATGAGTATTCCTAGAAGTTGATTTTCTTTTTTGGTATTTTAAGACACAGGGTCTTGCTATGTAATTCAGGCTGGTCCTGAATATGCAACAGTCCTTCTGCCTCAGCCTCCCAAGTGCTGGGATTACAGGCATGCACCACCATGCCCATCAGAAGTTGAATTTTTACACAAAACTTCCTTCAAAAAGAAAACTATAAGCATAAATGGTTTTACCAACATGTTAATTTTAATCTCATTAGTCCACATTGTACACATACATAATAGCAATATTTTTATCCCATAAAGATATAAATTATAATTTATGAATATTCAATTAAAAATATTCAGCCAACTAATTCTCAACAAATGTGCCAAAAACATAAACTGGAGAAAGGGCAGCCTCTTCAACAAATGGTGTTGGTAAGCTGTGAGCAGTGGTACACACCTGTAATCCCAGTACTTGCGAGGCTGAAGCAGGAGGATATGCAAAAGTTCAAGGCCAGCCTGGGCTACATTATGAAATGAAGTCCAGCTTTAACTAAATAGTGAGATCCTGTCAACAGCAACAAAAAAAGGCAACGGTGCTGGATATCCATATCTAGAAGATGAAAACTAGACTGCTATCTCTCACCCTGTACAAAAGTTAACTCAAAGTGAATCAAAGACATTAATGTAATATCTGAAAACTTTAAACTACTAGCAGAAAACAGGAGAAACATTGTGATAACAGCAAAGGCAAATATTTCCTAGACAAGACTCTAAAACCTCAGCAAACAAAAGCAATAATTGACAAACAGGACTACATCAAATTAAAAAGCTTCTGTGCAGCAAAGGAAACCATCAGTAGAGTGAAGAGACAACCTACAAAATAGGAGAAAGTCTTTCTTACCTATTCATCTAAGAAAGGATTAACATTCAAAATATATAAAGATTTCAAAAATCCAAGTAATCCCATCAAAAATCTAGCAAATGATCTGAACAGACATTTCTCAAAAGTAGTATAAACGGTAAACAAATATAAGAACGCTCAATATTTTTAGCCATTAGGGAAATTAAAACTACACTGACCCTAATCCGAATGGTTATTATAAAAATTAATAATGGTAGGGAGGGTGTGGAGATAAAGGAACCCTTATACACAGTTGGTAGGAATGGACATTAGCACAGCCATTATGGAAAACAGCCTGCAGATTCCTCGACAAACTAAAAATAGAAAGCACATGGGGAGCTATATTCCTGGGTATATATGAAGGAAATGAGCTAGCATACAAGAGAGAGAACTGTATTTTCATGCTTATTGTGGCACTATTCACAGCAGCCTATTGGAGACCGGGCTGTACAGGGTTAAGCATCTGGACACAGGGATCTTTGGCTGTGTTGGAAGAGCATACACACAGTGTTCTGAAGTCAAGATAACCACAGCTGAGGCAGTCAAGGACATGGGCTGCTGATACCATCTACTCCAGAACAATAAAGCTGTCAACCTTAGAGATCAAACTGTTCTCTTAATTGGCAAAACTTACTACTTGGAGAAGTCTTTGAACTGACTCCCAAGGTCTCTCTCAGTTCCTACGCTTATCTCAGTACCCTCCTTTCTTTGTCTGAAAACCAAATAAATAGACTGCTGGAGAAGTCTTTTTGTTTCAGCCCTCATAAAATCTTGAATTCTGCTAGAGGATTTTGATCCTCCTAGAGCCCAAAAACCATACTACCTGTCTCTTTTATTTAAGCCACTCACCATCCACTCGTTTAGGAGACTAGGGCTAAGCCAAGGCCCCGAGAGTAGCCAACACACTGAATCAGCCTGGGTGCACACCAATAGGTAAATGGATAAGGAAAGTATCACACACACACACACACACACAAATACACACATATACATGCACATACAGACAGTTATTATTCAGGCATACAAAAATTGAGATCTTGTAGGAAAATGGATAGAACTAGAGGTTCTGATGTTAAGTGAAATAAGCCAGACAGACAGACATGTTTTCTTTTGCATGTGGATACAAAAAATAAAAAGATGATCTATTAGGAACTGGAAAGGGGCCAGCAGAGACAGCAGACATAATCAATATATAACATATGCTTGTATGGAAATATGACAGTGAAACCCATTGATTTGTGCAGCTAATGTCTTATTAAGTATAATAAAAAATC